ATATATATATATGTGTGTGTGTGTGTGTGTGTGTGTGTGTGTGTGTGTGTGTGTGTAATAAAGAAAATTAAAACTAAAGGTAATTTGGAAACAAAATACTTAGAAATGTGAATTGAAATTACATATGTAGTAATCTCCAGCAGAATGAAAGAGATAGAGAATCTCAGGCACTGAAGATTCAATAATAAATGGATATATCATTCAAAAATAATGGTAATTATGAAAAATTCCTGACACAAAACATTCAGGAAACTTGTACACTTTGAGAGGACCAAACCTAAAATAATAGGATTACAGGAATAAGAATAATTCATACTCAAGGCTTCAAAAATATCATCAACAATAACATAGAAGAAAAATTTTCTAACCTAAAGAAAGAGATGGCTATAAATGTACAAGAAATATTCAGAACACAAATTAGGCTACAAAAAACTAGAAAGTTCCTTCAACACAAAATAAGAAAAAACACTAACTGTACAGAACAAGCAAAACATATTAAAAAGTTGGAAATGAAGAAGACCAAGTAACATTTAAAGAGAGACCACACATTCCAGCCCAGATGTTTGCTATACACAAGAAATATTAGACATTTAGTACAAAGTCAAATTTAAACAATACTTACCTACAAATCCAGCCATATATATTGGGCTAGAAAGAAAAAAACAAAGGAAATAAGATAATCACAACATTGATAACACAGGAAACAATTAATCTCACACAAGCAAAATTGATAGAAGGCTATCACACACACACACACACACACACAGAGAGAGAGAGAGAGAGAGAGAGAGAGAGAGAGAGAAACACACACTCAATCACACACAGATACACACACAAACACCACCAACAGAATCAAAAATTAATAATAGGAATTAATAATCATCAGTCATTGTGATCTCTCAATACAAATGGCCTAAACTGCCCAATAAATGACAAAGATTAACCAAAATGAGGTGAAAATGTGATCCATCCTTATGTTGTATCAAGAAAAGCAACAACATCAGGAAAAGGTATTGCCTCACTGTAAAAGGTTCAAAACATATTCCAAACAAGTGAACCTGAGAAGAAATTTACTGGAGCCATTTTAATATCTAAAAAAATGGACCTAAAACAAAATTAATGAAAGAGATATGAAAGAGCAACATATATTCATCAAAGGGAAAATCTAGTTGATTTATAAACATCGAGTAGATGTTTAAATTCTTAACATCTATTCTCAAAAACAAGGGTAACCACTCTTTGAAAAGAAACACTACTATATCTTAAATCATATAGTGGCCTTCACACTGGTAGTGGGAGTCTTCAGTACCCTACTCTTACAAAAGAAAACAAAGAAATACTGGAGATAACAGACTTTATAAACCAAATGGAACTGACAGATTTTACAGAAAATTTCATCCAAGAAAATAAGAACATACATTCTACTCAGCACCTCACAAGAGTTTCTCAATGATTCGTACTCAGAAACAAAGAAAATTGAAATAATTTCCTATAACATATCAAATCATAGTGGATATCAACAACAGGAAAAACAGAAAACATATAAACTTATAGAAACTAAACAGTTTCCTGTCGAATGAATAAGAGTTGAAAATAGAACTAAAGACATTAAAAACATTCTAGAATTAATTGAAAAATCAACTTACAACATGCCCAAACTTATGTGACGTAATAAAAGTGGTGGTAAGAGGAAAATTCACAGCATTAAGTATCTAAATTTGAAAAAAAAAGGAAAAAAATGAACCCCAAACCAAAAGAAAGAAAACCAAAACTGGCGAAAATGCATAATAGCCTTTTCATGTCACACCTGAAAGCTCTACAACCAAAAGAAATAAGCATACCTAAATGGAATATGTGGCAGGAAATAATCAAACCCAGGACTGATATAAATAAAATTTAATCAAAGTTTCAAGGATTTGTGGTTTGACACAATCAACAAGGTAGACCAACTTTTATCCAACTACAAGCAAGACACAGAGAGAATACAAAATTACCAAAATCAAAAATGAAGGCAGGACATAATAACAGACAGGAACGAAATACAGAGAATCATGTTTCATACTTTAAAAACATGTACTCTATGCAAATGAAAAATCTAAAAGACAAGTATAGTTTTCTCGATAGGTGCCATTTTAAAAAGTTAAATCAATATTAGAAAAACAAATTTATTTGGCCTATAACTCCTAATGAAATAGAAGCAGTCATCAAAAATATCCCAATTCATTTTTCTCTGTGTCTGGGTTACCTCACTCAGGATGATCTATTTCTAGATCCACCCATTTGGCTTAAAATATTCTGCTGTCCTTTTTTTAAAGCAGAATAATTCTCCATTGTATAAATGTACCACATATTCTTTAGCCATTCTTCAGCTGAAGGATATTTAGTTATTTTTTTCTTATTTCAAACAATGCATCTAAGAACATAGTTGAGCAAGTGTCTTTGGGGTATGGTTGAACATCCTTTCAGTATATTCACAGGAGTGTTAGACCTGGGCATTGTGCTGGATAGATTCTCAGTTTTATGAGAAACAATCACACTGGCTTCCAAAGTGGCTACACCTTCATCAGCAGTGGAAGACTGTTGCCTTCTCCACATCCTCTCCAGCAGAAGCTGTCACTTGTATTTTTTTATCTTAAACATTCTGACAAGTGTAAGATGGAATCACAGTCTTTTTGATTTGCACACCCATGATGCCTAAGGATGTTTTGCATGTCATTGAGTGTTTCTTGGCCATTTGAGCTTCTTCTGATGAGAATTCTGTTTCAATATCAACTCTATTTTTTCTTAATTTTATTTTAATTAGAAAGAATATTATTTTAAATATCAATCCCAGGTCCCTTTTGCTCCTCTCCTCTCCTGCCCCCTGAACTAACACCCTACATATTATATACACTTTCTGCTCCGCAGGAAGGATGAGGACTTCCATAGGAGGTCTTCATATCCTTTGGTATAAAGCCTAGGCACACCCCCATTTATCTAAGCTCAGGGAGTATCCCTCCACGTGGAATGGGCTCCCAAAGTCTATTCCTATCCTAGGCAAGCACTGATCCACTACAAGGGGCCACATAGATTTCTGAGGTCTCCTCACTGATACCCACATTCCAGGGTCCAGGATCAGTTCCATGCTGGCTTCCCAGCTATTGGTCTGGGACAAAAGAGCTCTCTCTTGTTCAAGTCATCTGTTTCTGTGGTTTTCACCAGCCTTGTCTGCACTGTTTTTCTCTGCCCCAATATTAAACTCGATTATTTTTTTTACTGATGACTTTTCTATTGAGTTGTTTATGTATTTTGGAAATCATCCCTTTTTGGAAATAGTTTGGTAAATATCTTATCCCATTCTCTAGACTGCCATTTTGACTTAATGACAGTGTCCTTTGCCTTAAAGAAACGATAAACATCCTTGGTAACAAGAAGGGTTCGGAGAAACTCTCAGATATCCATGGGAAGGGAAAGTAGAAAAGATTTTCTGAGTAAACTTAGGCTAATTCGGAAGAGAACATAGCAATCAGAGTTGGTGGGGGGACTGAGCTGGGAAAGTAGTCCCAGGAATCTACAATAAAGAGCTCAGCTTAGACTCTTAGCAATAGTAGATACATAGCCTGGACTGGCCATTTTCTGTCACAAGATTATTGCCTAGCCCAACTGTCATCTTACATGCCTTATACAACAACTTATGTAAACAGATGTAGGCACACAGCCAAACTGTAAGTGGAGGCCAGGGGCCATGGAGAAGAGTAGAAAGGATTGTAGAAGCCAAAGGCTTAGGAGAACACAAGAAAAGTTAGAAAATCTGGAACATACATCAGCCCTTAGGAGCTCACAGAGACTGAACTGGAAACCATGGAGCCTGCATAGGACTGACATAGGCCTTGTGCATATTTGTTATATTTGTGTAAATTGTTTTTTTTTGTGAGAATCTTAAGTTAATAGGCACATTCTCTGACTCTTTTACAGACTTGGATGACCTTATTTCTCAAACTGGGTCACTCTGCCCAGCATTAATACATGGCAAGGTACTTAAACATACTCCAAATTGATATCACATGATTTACTGATACTTATGCATGACCTGCCCATTCCACGACATAACTGAAGGAAGACTACATTGGGGTATGGGAATAGAGAAGAGATTGTAGGGAGGGCCTATGTGGAAAGGAGTGAGGGGAAATTGCAGCAGGAATGTATAATAAATAAATAAGTATAAAATTTATTAATTACAAAAGGTCTCCCAATTAAACAAAGTTCAAGATTTAGATGGTTTTACTGCTGAATTCTAAAAGAATTTCAGAGAAGTGTGAATATCAATACTCCTTAAATTATGTTGCACAATGAAAACAGAAGGAACATTGCCCAATTCATTTTATGATGTCAAAGTGTCATCAGCAACTACACAAACTACATACTCAACAAAGAGGGTTACTAACCAATTTCTCTTATAAACACATAAACAAAAATACTCAGTAAAATACTTGAAAACTGATGCAAGAAAACATCAAAAGCTTCATCCACCATGAACAAGTATGCTTCTTCCCACAGTTGCAGGGATGATTCAACCTAAAAAAAATCAGTAAATATATCTACCATATATATAAACTGATAGAAATGAAAGCACACAATTATCTTATTAGAAGCTGAAAAAGACTTTGATGAAATCCAATATACCTTCATAATTAAATACTTAGAGAGATTCAGGATACAAGGGAGAAAACAAAGTCAATTTACATCAAGCCTTTATCCCAGATAAAATTAATTGGAAAGAAACTAAGAGCAATTCCACTAAAATCAGGACTAAGACATGGTTATTCATTTTCTCTACAGCTATTCAGTATCAAACTTGAGTCTTATCCAGAACAATAAGACAACTAAAGGGGATCAACTGGGTAACAATTTGAAAGAAATAAATCAAAGTGTTTTTATTGGTATATATAAGTTATAGATTGCATAAGTGACAAAAAACATTCACTTGGGAATGACTATTATTGATAATAAAATACAGTATTTTCATGTAATTCTAACAAAGGGAATGGAAGACTTCTGTGATAAAAACTTCAATTCTTTGAAGAGAGAAATTTATGAAGATATCAGAACATATAAAGATCTTCTTTTCACATGGATAGGGAGGATTAACATACTAAAACTTGTCATTCTACCAAAAAATCTACAGATTTAATGCAATGACCATCAAAATTCAAACCCAATACAATTCAGACAATGAAAGACAACTTTCAACTTCATATAAACCTAAGAAAAAATGTGAAAGCACTTGATAGTTAAAACAATCCTGAAAAATAAGAGAATTCCTGGAGTTATTATTATTCCTGATTTTAAGTTGCACTACAGAACTATAGTAATAAAAACTGCCTGGTATTGGCATGATAATAGACAAGTTGATCGATGGGCTTGAACTGAAGTCACATACATAAAAGCACATACTTATGAAAACCTTCTTGCTGATAGATAAATCAGAAATACACTGGGAAATGTCTCTTCAACTAATGGTGCTTGGAAATTGGATTTCTGCATGTAAATTAATGCAAACAGAGCCATATTTATCACCCTGCACAAAATAAGCACAAGGGGATCAAAGACTTCAATATAAAAACCAGCTACTCACTGAACAAGATAGAAGAGAAAGTGGGGAACAACTGAACAGATTCATTCAGCAGACAGTTTTCTGAAAAGAATACTCATGACATAGGCATTATGAACAATAAGTAATAAATGGGACCTCATAGAACTAAAATGCATTCATGAGTCGAAGGACACCATCAACTGAATAAAGAGAAACATTACAGAAGGGGAAATGTGTTATAATAACTCTTCTCACCAGCTTGGACCCACTGCTGCATCAGTCCCAAATGAGCACTCAGAGAGTTATATTAATCATAATACTGTTGGCTGTTGTCTTGGACTTCTTATTGGCTAGCTCTGTCTTAATTATTAACCCATTTCTATTAATCTAAGTGTTTTTACATGGTCTTATTTTACCAGAGAGTGTCTGACTCTCATCCTCTCCTCCAGGATCACATGAAGACTGCTCTTTGCCTACATTTCACAGAATCATCCGCCTCTACTAGACACACCTATCATTCTGCCTCATTGGCTGAATATAATGACATCTCTCATAAGAAAACATTTTTTATTCACTACACATCTGATAAAAGTCTATTAATTAAATAAATAACTCAATAAATTAGATATCAGAAAACAAATTACCTATTTTAAATTGTGATATAGTTCTAAATAGAAGATTGTCAACATTGGAATCTCAAATGGCCAAGAAAACACCTCAAGATATATATTCTTCCATTGCGAATTGTAGTAAAAACTTGTACAGTCATTGAGAATACCAATATGGCAGTTTCCTAGAGTACTGTCAATCAATCTACATCAATACTCAGCTATACCACTGTTGGGCATATACTCAAAGACAGTACATACTGCCACATTGACTCTTGCTCAATTATATTAATTGTAGCTTTATTCATAACAATGAGAAGATGAAAACAATATAGATGACTCTCAACCTGGCAATAGATTAAAAATATGGTAAATTTACACAATGGAATATTACACAGCTGTGTAAGAAATGATATCATCATATTTACAGCCAAATGGATAGAATTAGAAAAAAAATCATTCTTAGTGATCTAATGCAGCCATAGAAAGATAACTATGGTTTGAATTCACTTGTAAATGGAATTTTTCTCTGAAGTAAAGTATAGGCATGCTACAAACTACAAACCCAGAGACATGAAACAAAGAGGAGCATGCTCTGAGAGGGACAGATGCATGGACTAGCCCAAGGATGGGGAAATAGCATAAAATTTGCAGGTGGACTATGGGCAGATGGGGATAGAAGTGGGATGAATCAGTTGGGAGGTAACAGAGGTATGTGGGTGAAAGACAGATGGAATTGAGTTTTGCAATAGTGCAGTAGAAACTTACTAGAATAGATGAGGGTGACCCTAGTGATGACTTCTAGTAACAGAGGATATAGAGTCTGAATTACCTGTCTATTTTAGCCAGGCAAGTCTCCCAGTTTTGGGACTGGATTACAGTCCATTGACTTGTTGGCCAAGTGGATTTCTTGGAGATCCTAGGCACCCCTGTCTGATGCTATGAATGAAAGTCACTCTCTGAAAATTAACAGTGGTCCCCGTTGCAGAGAATAATATTCTCATACTTCATTGAACATAGAAAGGACACCTAGTGCCTGAATGGAGACTTCTCCCCTACATTCTGTTATCTTTGGCATGAGGAGCTACCAAAAGTGGTAGATAGCTGAGAGGAGTGAATGGAGGGGAAAATGTGGTTAGTCTATTTTGTATTAGGAAAATATATTTTCAATAAAATATAAATACAATATAAAACAAGATTATGGACTTCAAAATGAAAAGTGATTTGTTACCATCTTTTATTTGGATTAGGAATTACATGATCAAACCACAGTTTGTTCAGACTTAACTTTCTGTCATTTTCTAACCCATGTTTTCTTTGACATCAGGCATTTCCATATTTTTGAGTTTGTGAGGTTCTATTGGGTATGAGTGATATACAACTGACGAGGATTGAGCTTTCTCTGTTCTGTAGTTCCTGATTTCTCTTACATCACAATCTTTAAAGCAGCTCTAACTAAATGGAAGCATATCTTTATCCACTTAAAAGAAAACATCAAAGATATGATTTTTGTTTTAACAATGACAAATTGTAAGTATTGTCACATAGTGGGTGCTTGAGATAGTTGAAGAACTTTCATACTGATTTGCTAGTGTTCTCTTACTTCTCTTATCATCAATACCATGTTCACTTTCTACATGAGAGAGTAAAACATATTAAGGATTTATGTACACCTATTGCATCCAAACACTAATCAAGAGGACTTGAAGATTATGTTTTGAAGTGTACCCTAATATTTTTAGTATCAGTCTGATAAGGATCACAAAGAATACTTTCTTGTAAATCCAGAATTTTGAAAATAAAGCAGGGAGTAAGTATTTTTTATTCAATTTTT